AGTTGGGCCTAAGCAGGTGAACTTAAAGGGCACAGTGCTGGCAGCTCACCACAATGTCACTCTGTGATTTGTTCCACTCTTAGGCAGTCTAGACTCTACCTTGTCCCGTGACCAGGCTCTCTCCTTGTGCTCTATCCCAGCCCCACTGAATCCCCTTTTGCTTCTTTCTGTATCTTCTGATCTTCTGGCAATTTCCAGCCTATCCTTTGAGAAGCCTTCCCTGACTCACAAAGTGTGTTAGTCTTCATTCCAGGGCTCTCATAGCTCCCCAAATTTCTTCTATCATAACAGTCATCAATGTTTACTGTGATCACGTGTTTAATTGCCTACCTGTTCTTCCAGATTCTGTGTGCTGTGAGGAGAAAAACCACCTCTGTCTTGTTTCTCATTTTTTTTCCTAGAGTTTTGCTCAGTACCTAGTCCCCACAAACCAAAAAACCTCAAACTTGTTGCCATCAAGTCGATTCCAATTCACGGTGACCCTGCGTGTTACAGAGGAGAACTAGTCCCCAGGGTTTTCTTGTCTGTAATCTTTACAGGAGCTGACTGCCAGGCCTTTCTTCCACGGTATCACTGCCAAATATTTGTAAAAGACTGAAGGAATGAATGTGTCCTGCTCCAAAGCATGTGTTCTCACCACAGAGGCAATTTCTTTTATCCAGACCCACAGTCAGTGGGAGCCAGTGGAGTGGAATGGCTGTGCTCTAAAAAGTTATTTTCCTGGTGTCAGAGGAAGGCTCTGGTGGTGTAGTGCCTAAGGCATTTGACTGCTAGCCAGAAGGCTGGCAATTCAAACCTACCAGCCACTCTGCAGAAGGAAAACTGGACAATCTGCTTCTGTAAAGATTTACCGCCTTGGAAACCCAAAGAGGGTCACTATGAGTTGGAATTGACTTAATGGCAGTGAGTTTGGTTTCTTTTCGTTAGAAAGAAGGCAGCTTCATGGTCCTGTGCAATGTTTCCCAAGATTTAACCTTTTCTCTGGTGATTTTTTAGGAGCAAGGGCTCAAGCACCAGCTTGACTGTGAGGTAGTGGACATAGCACTGGCTCTATTCTAGAGCTCTGCAATCAGAAAGAACCACTGGAGATTACTGGCTCATAACCTCAGTTTTCTTGCCTGTAACCTGAAAATAGTAACCTATATCACAAGGGTCCCTAGGAGGCGGAGGTTAAAGATGTCCCAAATGCCCAACTTTGCCAAACTGCTGTACCACTCCATCATCCCTAACATCAACTCCTCTTCTCCTCAATACTCTCCCTCCTGCCTTAGGGTTCTGTATTTCACTGTAACATCTCACAGAACTCACAACTGCCAAGGATATGGCTCATGCAGGGGTGGAGGCTGGGAGGCTGGCAAGTTCCAAATCTGTTGGTCAGGCATAGGTCTGGAGGATTCTCCTTACTCACTTGGTTGCAGGGGCTGGCAAAACCGAGTTGGCAGGTTAGACAACTGACTGGTTGCTGTCTCAAGTAGGAGTGAGATGCTGAGGAACCAAATGTAGGAGCCAGAGCAAGAGAAAGCGAACTTTGCCACGACATTTACATATACACCCTCAAGGAAACTAAGTCACTTAAGGTGACTAAGGCAGGATTCAGGATACATCCCATCCTAAAAAAGGCATACATAAAAAATGCAACCACTGCCATGGAGTTGGATCTGACTCATAGCAACCCCTCCTTGGGTTTCTGAGGTGGTAACACTATGGAAGTATATTGCCCAACCTTCCTTCCGGGAGTGGCTGGTGGGTTTGAAACACCAGCCTTCTGGTTAGCATGCAAATGCCTTAGGCATTATGCCACCAGAGCTCCCTTAAAAGGGCATAGAGGCTTGTTGTTGTTGTTACGTGCTGTCGAGTCGGAAGCGACTCATAGCAACCCCTCCTTGGGTTTCCGAGACAGTATCACTACGGAAGTAGATTGCCCCATCTTCCGCCAGGCTTCTGGTTAGCAGTCAAGTGCCTTTAGGCACTACACTACCAGAGCTCCTGGCATAGAGGCTAGCATTTACAATATATCACAAAATGGAGGACTATGGCTATAGTCAATTAAGTAATTCATTGTACTGCAGGGAAGAACATAAGAAAGTGTCTAGTACATAGCTTAGAATTTAGATTTTCGAACAAATGCTTGTTTCCCTTCATGCACCTTCAGGTCTTCATTTCTGACCAGTATTGAGACCACTTCAAGTAAGGAAGCTAGAGGAAGACTGTTCAATGTTGCTGTGGTCCCCAGTATCTATTCCTATCTCTTTTTTTTTTTGGTTTAATAAAGCCTCTAATTTTTAAATGCATACTTGGCTGTCTGAAATAAAACTTCCTGGCTTCTCTTGCAGATAGGTGTTGCTATGCAACTAGGATTTGGCTGATGTGTTATAAGTGGAAATGCAGCTGATGACTTCTGGAAAGGGGTGAAGGAGCTTGTCTTCCTACCTGCCACCTTCATTATCTGGAATAGGACACTGTGGTTGGAGACCAAATGCCACTTCACCTATGCAGTGGAAGCAAATGGTAAATAGAGTAGAATAAGAAATTAGGCTCCTAGGTCAACCTCTGGAAGACTATAGTGGTATGGGCTCTCCTTGTAGACTTCATTTATGTAAGAGAGAAATTATATCCTGGTTAAGTCATTGTTGTTTTGAGTTTTCTGTCACTCCTAGACAAACCCCACTCTGATTGACTATAGTCCTGTACCTGTTTGACCAAGGTTCCTGTGGTAGTTAAGGTTATATGTCAACTTGAGTTGGCCTGGTTTTGAGTGTCTGGGCAGCTGATTATAGTTATTCCCCAGGATGAGACTGGCAATCAAATCCATGGTGGAATCTGCTGTGAGCAGCTGAGTAGCTGCTTTAGGGATGTGGTCTGCTTCCAGTACATAAGGAGAAACTTTGGGAATGGTCTGCAGCTCTTTGGCATGCTTAGACCCTGAGTGCAGCTAAATCTTCATTCAGCAGCCTGCCGTGTTTCCTGCCAATCTTGGGACTGTCCCTGGACTTGAACTAGTGGTCTGCTCTGTTGTTTGGTAAAATTAAGGCTGTGCCATTTTATTTGTCGACTTTGGGCTTGTTAGCCTCAGCAGCCAGCAGCTGCCTGAGTGAAGAGATGCCTCTAGTTCTAGTGGCAGGAGCAAGAGGCAGAGCTAAAGCCCAAGGTCGAGGGGCTTTCACCCATCCCCTTGAGCTTGGCACTTTGAACTCAGGCTTCTAGCCTCCAAAACTATAAGAATAAACTCCTGTTTATTAAAGCCATCCATTTGTGGTATTTTCTGTCAGAGTAGCACAAAGTAACCAAAACAGTTCCTTCCTGGGTAATTGTTGGAAGTTCACTGCAGCTGTCAATAAGCTTCCAGAAATCCCTAACAGAAGAGGTGCCTCTAAGGCATCTCTGTGGATATGGGTTTCCAAGGGCTGTAACTCCCAGGGAGCCTGCTGGCCATCTTGAAGGAATCTCCAAAGAGTCAGTTAACTCCAGAGAAGAGGGAAGGGAACAAAGTTCACTAAGAATCTACTACCTAGCAATTGTTCTTACATACATGGCCAATAAGGGACAAAATAAACTTTATGAAAAAATTAAAGAATTGCATTAGTCTTGCTGATCTGACATCTGTTCTCATTTGCCTAGTGACAGTCTCAGCAATCAACTTACTCCTTTGTATTTACATCAGAGTGTGAATATGGGTCTTAACCAAATCGAATAGAGGAGTTAGAGGAGGTTTGAAACAGTGCTACTCAAAGTGTGGTCCATTGACTAGCTGCCACTCTTACATTTTTTATTACTAACATGCAATGGGGAGCTCTGGTAGCATAGTGGCTAAGACACTTGACTGCTAACCAGAAAGCTGGCAGGTCAAACCCACTAGCCATTCCTCGGAAGGAAGATGGGGCAATCTACTTCTGTAGTGATACTGCCTCAGAAACCCAAGGAGGGGTCGCTATGAGTCGGGTCCAACTCGATGGCACATAACAACAACAACAACATGCAATGAAATAAGGAACTTCCACTAGAATGCAGATCAACTGTGTCTCTAAGCACATTGTTTTTTGCTCAGCTTTTCTTTTCTTTCTTTTTTTCCCCTATAGCAAGACTTTCTTGATGAAGGAAGCAATGGAGTGATACACATTCTGGCATAAGTTCCCATCTGGTTTCAGAGCAGCTCTGCAAATAGTATGGCTCTACTATTTGGCTGCCCTTCAAAATCTGTTATGGAGTTTTTTTTAAAAAAATATAGATACTTGAACATACTTTAAACCAATTACCTCAGAATCTCTGAGGATTGGGTCCAGCCATCTATATCTTTGTAAAGCACCATAGGTGAATCTGAGAAATACCCCTGGCAGAGAACCATTGTTTGGGTATGACAAGAGAATGGAATACAGAGTGCTGATTTTTCAGGACCAAAAGAGCGTGAACTTCTGTGTGCACTTTCTTTAAACTTAAGCTGCCTCTGCTGAGCACAACAGAAGATTTAAGACTTTTTCCTGGGTTCTTATTTATCATTTACTTAACTGATTTGATTGCTGTTGTGTGCTGTTGACTTGATTCTGACTCTCAGCAATCACATGTGACCAAGCAGAACTGCCCTGGAGGGTTTCCTAGGATATAATCTTTATGGGAGCAGATCATCAGGTCTTTTCTCCTACAGAGTAACTGATGTGATAGGGGCTGGCAGATTACTTTGGATCAAATTCAAACCTAGAGATATGTGAGACTATTCTTTCTACAGGCCTTTGTTCACATTGTAGTTTTCCCTAAAGCTCTTTCAGTTCTTACTGGGTGTATTCTCTCAGGAAACACAAATTCAGTTTCTTTAAAGCCAAAACAAAAGAGGGGAAAGAATTTCCTGCTTTCCTCCATGACAGAGTCCCTAACATCATCACTGTTGTCATCAGACACCTCTGCTGGTAGGAGAGGTTTGTTCCCTACAGAAACAAGCTGATGGTTCCAAAATGGTGGTGTCTCTGTGCACAACTCCAAGGTGACAGGACCCACACCCACTTCCTTACCTGCAGTTCCCAGGCTGAGCAGCACAGCCACCCAGAGGACCCAGAAGAAAATGAGGATGGCGAATGTCCACAGTGGCTGGAGCAGCAGGAAGGGGGAGCTGCTGATGGCTTTGTTTATGACTTGGAAAAGCTCAACTGTCAATTTTATTCTCTTTCTGAGGACAAAAATCAGAATGAGCAGAACCACCTGGTGAGAAAAGCGTATTACAATAAATTATTTCAAAATAATGGTGAACTGGGTGGAGTTTTCCTTCTGAAAACAAACACATACTTCACTAACATCTCAGTAAACAGCTCTTTTTTTTTTTAATGAAATTATTGTCATGTAATTGTCTTTTTATATGTATTCTACCACAATAACATTTTTTACAAAGAAAGCATACATATATGTGTGATAAAATTCATAGTAGTAAATACAGCAGGCCAGTAGTGCCAGGGAATTCCTCCTCACCTCCCAGGAGCAGCTCTCTGGCAATGGCTGATGGGAACTGGTATACAAATATGCCAGCTCCCTCATCTCCCTGGTGGGACGCTCTGAGATTTGTGTCTATGTTGTTTCCAAGGCAGTAAACAGCTCTTTTAAGATCGTTAGTCATTATTTTTGTTATAACTGAGCAGATAAATTCTGTGGAGGCCTCATGCAAACACTGAGTACCTCTTATGTGCTTGTCCCTGTGCTAGATCTTGCTGATGTAACAGTGAACAGCCTCTTCCATAAAGGAGCTTGCAATCTGGTTAAAGAACAAGAGAAAATAAGAATAAGCTCCTTTAGGGTCAGGGCACTGTCTTATATCCACATCTGCCCCCCACTTCCCTCCACCATCCCCAGTGCACTCACGGTAGTCAGAGAATGCTGAGGCACTGCAAAAGGTCAGGGGATATGAACATGAGAGAAAAGGACATTGATGCCTCAAAGTGACATCTATGCCTTCTTCTCTACTAGCTTTTTCCTCTCTGCATATAAATATCTGTAAGTCTTTCATATTAAAGAAACTAGGGCTTCAAACTGGTTCATTCCGGTTTGACCCCCCTCCTGAGAATTTGCATTTCTACCCCAAATATGCTGAATCAGAATCTACATTTTAACAAGAACCCCCGGGGATTCTTATGCACACACGTGAAAATGTAGATTCTGATTCAGTGTATCTAGGATGGAAATGCAAATTCTCAGCAATGGGTGAAAACAGAATAAACTGGTTTTAAGCCTTGAAAAAACAAACTATCTTCTATCCCACATCCCCATCTAGCCACTGCCATCTCTCTCATTCCCTTTACATCAAGCTTCTTCAAGAAGTAGTCTACACTCACCACTCTGACTGCCTGTAAACTTCCCAACCCAAACACTCTCCTAAAACTGCTCTCCCTAAGGTCACTCTGTGTTGGGACTCCATGGAAACCCAATGTGACCATGGAAACATTTCAGGTTTGTGCTTGACCTCAGTATGGCATTTGAAATGCTTGTCCATTCCTGCTTTTTAAAAACGTTCTTTGGCCTTCATGAGCTCTCATTCTTCTGGTTGTCTCCCATTTCTTCAGTTAGTGCTTCTGGAATCTTTGGGGGGCATTTCCTACTCCTTTGTGGTTTTAACAACCTTGTAGATGCTAACAGTCTTCAAATCAAATCTTTCAGACCTCACCTTTCACTGTCTGTTGGATAAGTACAGTAGTTATGGGCAAGGGTTCTGTGTCCAGATGTTTTGCAGGTGCCTCAAACTCATTTGACCTGAACTTAATCTCCTCTTTCCCCTATATTCCCTACCTCCAGTGGCCATAATTTTTCTGAACCCTCCAAAAATAAGTCTTGTGTGCTCCTATTTTACCCTGTACTTACCCTATTGTAGCACTCAACATATTCTACTACAGACATTTACTTGTCTGAATTTCCCATTAGATTTTAGCTCCTTGAGGGCAGGGCCATTCCTTATTGCTAAAGACTTGTCACAGTGCCCAGCTCAGAGCACATTCCCAATTACTTCTGATTGAGTTTCACAAATACCTCTTGGTCCATCCTCACTTCTCTATCCTTATGACTGATGCTACAACTCAAGCTTCATCCTCTCTCCATCTGGACACAATAACTTTCTCACTGGCCGCCTGCTTTTAATCCTCCTGAGTTCCCACCCAACACTTCTCCTATTCCACTGTGGGAGGGACCTCTGTAGAGAGTAAAGCCAAGGATGTCACTTCCCTGCTTAAAATCTATCAATAGCTCCCCAGTGCTCTCAACTCTAATGGCAGATTAGGTCCTTCCTGACATCATGGCTCATCCCTGCACCTGCATCTCTGGCTTCCACCAAGGGAACTTCCTTCAGGTCTCTCTCCTGCTCATGTGACCCCACACGCTGTCCTCTTCCTTGGCCTGCAATGCCATTTGATCTCTTTTAGCTGGGTTGGACATTCTTGTCCTCAAAGACCTCACAGTCAAGCGCAGGACACACAGAGTCAAAGAACAGTGAGATGAACTTCAGAAGCTGCTCTGGGAGCATCTCACAGAGCCTCCTGACTGGACTGTAGGAGTGTCAGGAGAGACCAGAGAGACATTCAGAGGAGACCCTTAAGTCTTAAAGGCTGAGTAGGCATTCTCAATGCCTATCACACTCATCAAAGAAGAGAGACTTGTTTGTTTGTACTATACAGGCGGGAGCTCTGGTAGCATAGTGCCTAAGGCACTTGACTGTTAACCAGAAGGCTGGCAGTTCAAACCCACCAGCCACTCCTTGGAAGGAAGGTTGGGCAATCTATTTCCGCAGAGATACCACCTCAAAAACCCAAGGAGGGGTCACTACAAGTCAGGTCCGACTCAACGGCACATAACAACAACACTATATAGGCAGTTCCTGGATTACAAGCAAGATCTGTTCCTAAATGTGTCTTTAAATCTAAAAGTCTAAGTAAGTCTCTAAATAGGATTTGTAGGTAAAGTGAACAGGTGCATATGGCTCTTATTTAGCCTTTCTTTAGTGTAAGAAGGTACTCTGGTAGTGCAACGGTTAAAACATTCAGTTGCTAACCGAAAGGTTGGCTATTCAAACCTATCAGCCACTTTGTGAGAGAAAGTGAGACAGTCTGCTTGAAAGATTTACAGCCTTGGAAACCCTATGGGGCAGTTTTACTCTGTACTACTGGGTTGCTATGAGTTAGAGATGAATTGAAGACAGTAGTTTGGTTTAGTTTGGATTAGTGCAAGAAAAGGTCTGAGGCCTTTTCAATGATTTAAAAGCTGCACATGAAGCCTTGTGAAGGTACCTGGATGAAGAATTTGTTGTGAGTCAAGCCTAGGTCAATTGTTTCAAACTAAGGGCAAATTTACATAACATTAACATGCAAGTACAACTCCATCTGATGTTCTAACCTAGGGACTACTTGGATTTAAAATTGTAATGAAGCAAAATGATAGAATCTTTAAGGAAATAAACTTGGCTTCTGGCTCCCAAGTAGAATGCTAACATGTGTGTATCTAAATGCATTCATATTTTAAAACTTGTTTAGTATATGTCCACCACCTGTCTGTCAGTTTGTTGTACTGTGGTGGCCTGTGTGTTGCTGCAAGGATAGAGGCTATGCCACTGGTATTTCAAATACCAGCAACACCACCATTGGTGGACAGGTTTCAGCAGAGCTTCCAGACTAAGACAGACTGGGAAGAAGGATGAGGCCATCCACTTTTGAAAAAATTGGCCACTGAAAACCTTATGAATAGCAGTGAAACAGTGTCTGATACATAACTGGAAAACTTTATGAATAGCCATGAAACATTGTCTGATATAGTGCCAGAAGATGAGTCCCTCAAGTTGGAAGGCACTCAAAATACGACTGGGGAAGAGCTGCCTCCTCAAAGTATAGTTGACCTAAATGACGTGGATGGAGTAAAGTTTTCAGGACCTTCATTTGCTGATGTGGCACAACTCAATTGGAAGAAACAGTTGCAAACATCCATTAATAATCGGAATGTGGAATGTACAAAGTATGAATCTAGGAAAACTGGAAGTTCTCAAAAATGAAAAGAGATGAATAAAGATAGATATCCTAGGCATTAGTGAGCTGAAATAGACTGGTATCGACCAGACAATCATATGGTCTATTATGCTGGGAATGACAAATTGAACAGGAATGGTGTTGCATTCATCATCAAACAGAATGTTTCAAGATCTATCCTGAAGCACAGTGCTGTTGGTGATAGGATAATATCCATCTGCCTACAAGGAAGACCAGTTAATACTATTATTATTCAAATTTACACACAAACCACTAAAGTAAAAAATGAAGAGATTGAAGACTTTGCCAACTTCTGCAGTCTAAAATTGACCAAACATGCAGTCAAGATGTATTGATAATTACCAGTGATTGTAATGTGAAAGTTGGAAATAAAGAAGAAGTTTCCATAGTTGGAAAATATGGCCTTGATGATAGAAATGATGCTGGAGATCACATGATAGAATTTTACAAGACCAACGATGTATTTGCTGCAAATACCTCTTTTCAGCAATATAAGTGGTGGCTATAAATGTGGACTTCATCAGATGGAATACACAGGAATCAGATCGACTACATTTTGGAAAAAGGCTCACTATCATCAGTCAAAACAAGGCCAGGAGCTGACTGTGGAGCAGATCATCAATTGCTCATATACAAGTTCAAGTTGAAGTGGAAGACAATTAAAACAAGTCCAAGAGAGCCAAAATACAACCTTAATTATGTCCTACCTGAATTTAGAGACCATCTGAAGAACAGATTTCACACATCGAACACCAATGACCACAGACCAGACAAGTTGTCAGATGACATTAAGAGCATCATACGTGAAGAGAGCAAAAGGTCATTAGAAAGACAGGAAAGGAAGAAAAGACCAAAGTCAATGTCAGAAAAGACTCTAAAATTTGCTGTTGGATGGAGAATAGCTAAAGTGAATGGAAGAAATGATGAGATAAGAGAGCTGAACAGAAGATTTCAAAGGGCGCCTCAAGAAGACAAAGTAAAGTATTATAATGAAATGTGCAAATATTGGAGTGAAAACCAAAAGGAAAGAACATGCTTGGCATTTCTCAAGCTGAAAGAACTTAAGAAAAAACTCAAGCTGTGAATTGCTATACTGAAGGATTCAACAGGCAAAATATTGAATGATGCAGAAAGCATCAAAAGAAGATGGAAGGACTACAGAGTCACTGTACCAAAAATAATTGGTTGATGATCAACTATTTCAAGAGGTAGCATATGATCCAGAACCAATGGTACTGAAGGAAGAAATTCAAGCTGCAGTGAAGAAAGTGGCAAAACATGGTTCCAGGATTGATGGAATACCCACTGAGATGTTTCAGCAAACAGATGCAGCACTGGAGGCTCTTACTCATTTATGCTAAGAAATTATGGAAGATGGCTACCCAGCCAACTGAGTGGAAGAGATATTTGTGTCCGTCCAAAGAAAGGTGATCCAACAGAATGTGGAAATTATTGAACAAAATTATTAATATTCATGCAAAGAAAATTTTGCTGAAGATAATTCAAAAATGGTTGCAGCAGTACATTGACAGGGAACTTCCAGAAATGCAAGCCTGATTCAGAAAAGGATGTTGTTGTTATGTGTCCCCAAGTAGGACCTGACTCATAGTGATCCCTCCTTGGGTTTCCGAGGTGATATCACTACACTAGAAAAGGATGTAGAACAAGGAATATCATTGCTGATGTCAGATAGATCTTAGCTGAAAGCAAAGAATACCAGAATCACCTGGTTATACTATGCAAGGGCATTCAACTGTGTGGATCATAACAAATTATGGGCAACATTGTGAAGAATGGGAACTTCAGGACACTTAATTTTGCTCATACAGGACCTGTACACACACCAAGAGGTTGTCATTTGAACAGAACAAGGGAATACTGCAAGATTTAAAATCAGGAAGACTGTATGCCAGGGTTGTATCCTTTCACCATACTTATTTAATCTGTATGCTGAGCAAATAACTGAAGAAGTTGGATTATATGAAAAAGAACATGCTATCAGAATTAGAGGAAGACTCCTTAACAATCTGTTATATGCAGATGACCCTTGCTTGCTGAAAGTGAAGAGGACTTGAAGCACTTACTGATGAAGATCAAAAACTACAGTCTGCAGTATGGATTACAGCTCAACATAAAGAGAATCAAAATCCTCACAACTGGACCAATAAGCAATATCATGGAGAATGGAGAAAAGATTGAAGTTGTCAGGGATTTCATTTTACTTAGATCCACAATCAACACCCTTGGAAGCTGCAGTCAAGAAATCATACATTGTATTGCATTGGGCAAATCTGCTGCAAAAGACCTCTTTAAAGTGTTAGGAAGCAAAGATGTCACTTTGAAGACTAAGGTGCACCTAACCCAAGCCACGATATTTTCAATCGCCTCATATGCATGTGAAAGCTGGACAATGAATAAGGAAGACCAAAGAAGAGGTGATGCCTTTGAATTGTGTTGGCAAAGAATACTGAAAATACCATGGACTGCCAGAAGAAGGAATAAATCTGTCCTGGAAGAAGTGCAGCTGGAATGCTCTTTGGAAGCAAGAATGGCCAGACTTTGTCTCACCTACTTTGGTCACGTTGTCAAAAGGGACCATTCCCTGGAGAAGGATATCATGCTTGGTAAAGTAGAGGGTCAGTGAAAAAGGGTACGACCCTCAACAAGTTGGATTGCCACAGGAGCTGCAACGATGGGCTTAAGCACAGCAAGGCTTATAAGGATGGTGCAGGACCAGGTAATGTTTTGTTCTGTTGTACATAGGTTCACTATGAGTCAGAGCTAATTTGACAGCACCTAACAACAACAACAACATATTATATGTATATAATGCTTTTCTCTTGCTCCAAGTATACTAATAGGATGTTGATTATGGGTAATGAGCTAACTCTAATGCTTTACTTTCCCCAATCTCAATGGAGACCAGCATTACCTAGTGGGGACTGGAGGTAGGGCCATGCAGCTAGGCTGGGGCAACAGGAGCTGACTCACCAACCATGGGGCAAGCCCTATTGTCACTCTTCTGGGCTCTAAGCTTCAGGGAGCTGTTTTTTAGGTTATCATCATGGACTGATGCCATGAGGCAAGCATTTAATACCATTCACCGCATTTTCTTCTTTGCTCTAGTGGTTCTACTGAAACCACTTAAAGAATATTCACAGGTGGCCCCCATCTTCCCAGAGCAATGTTCTCAAATTTATTTGTAAGGAAGATCCTGGGGACTCAAAAGTCCAGGAATACATCTCTACCCAAGAGGTCTGAGCAGTAGAAAAGGGTTTCCTCAGGAGTCAGGCCAGTAGTGAGGCTCTCAGGGTCACTGCTGGCTCCAGGTTGGGGAGGGGAGGAGGTGGGAGAAGAGATGAACAAGGGAGGAGGGTTAGAGGAGTTTTCCTTCCTGCCCTTCTTCAGCTTCTTCTCCCAACATTGGCCTTCCCTTTTCTTTCACTTATCTGGGAAAGACAAAGTAAGTAAGGGAAGGAAGAGGGGCAGCAGATAATTTCTTTCCTCTTGGAGACCTCTTGGAGACCAGTGCCGGTCATGGGAAGTAGTGGCCAACCAGGAGTACATAACTTTCTTTTTCTTCCCATCCCTTCCCTCATCCAGTGCAAGGCTCTGTGGGGAGCAGACTGGGCTAGAGGAGGGTAAGAAGCGGGGACAGGTAGTGATTTTTGCTGGTCATGGCTCATCCATTTTTTCCTAGCCAGCCTGCTTCCCTGGATTCTGTTGTCCAGCTGAGTGAGGACAGCCTGCCAGGCAGTACCAGGGGTACTCTCCAGGGAATACAAAGCTTCCAGGGGGGTGGTGCCCCCAGGAGGAGGGAGGTCTATACCCCTACAGGCTACCTCACAATAGTATTCCTACTGACAGATGAGGAGACTAAGGCCTTAGAGTCCAAGTCATTTCTCCTGGACACACAGTCCAGACTCATTCTCTGTGCTCATGTCATGTTGTTGCTTTGTCAGTCATCTTAAGATATGTGCTGTCTTGTGTTTTGTGTCATGCCAGATCCACTGCTTAGCATAGGGCCCTGAATATAATAAACCTACTACTGTTGAGTCAATTCTGACACATCATGACCCTATAGAGTAGAACTGCCCCATAGAGTTTCCAAGACTGTAAATCATTATGGAAGCAGATTGCCACATCTTTTCCCATGGAGTGGCTGGTGGGTTCAAACTACTAACATTTTAGATAGCTGCTGAATGCTTTAATCACTACACAACCAGAGCTCTTCCTGCATATAATACCATACCACAAATACCAAACTCACTGCCGTCTAGTCGGATCTGACTCATAGTGACCCCTCCTTGGGTTTTTGAGGTGGTATCACTACAGAAGTAGATTGCCCCATCTTCCTTCTGACCTGCATATAATAGGGGTTAATAAATGATGAGAACAATGGAGAATCTAGGGCCCTTAAGAGAATAAAGGTTGGGCTACCTCACCCAGCAACAAACACTTGGTAGGAACTCAGTAAGTGGCAGCTGCACATGTGCCAAATAAACATTATACAAAGTTCAACCCTTCTCAGTGGACTACCCACTGTAGGATCTCCACAGACAGGTGAGGCAGCCCCTCTCTCTTTTCTCACAGCCTCCCTTCCCCTAACCTTACACTCAGGGAAGAGGAGAATTTACTCCCTGGACCTAGGATCTGTATGCCCAGTAGTGGTCCAGTATGTGAAGACAAAGGAAGCCCCTAGAGAGCTCAGGGAGGAACCTCATGCTCTCTCCCCAGCTCCATACCCCATCCTCCTCTCCAGAGTCCAAGAGCTTCACCACCCACCCTGGGCTGCAGGGTGCCCCTCCTTCTCCAGGCTCCTCCACAGACTCTGGCTTAGCTGGGGGCCTGCTAGAATCAGACACTTTATTGTACACATGTTCCCTGATGCAGTGTATGTGTGGAGCATAATGCTGAACCCTCACTGTGAAAGGAGAAAATGTGGATAGCACTTATGGGAACTGATGGGTTTCCTAAGAAGAGAGAATGAAGTTGGTAAGAGAATCTGCTGTTGCTGAAAGCCTTCATGGGCTTGTGGAGACCCCTAGCTGTTGCTCCTCCATAAAACTCACTAGCAAGGGTGACTGGGGGACACCTGAAATCGGTTCCTGGCCCTCTCCAGGGTCTTGTGGTTCTAACACTTTTAATGTCACTCAAGGATGAACTGTATGATTTTTAGTTGTCAAGCACCCTCTCCCAACAACCTGTAGCTGCTGCCTCCACATTCTAAGCTTGTTTTTCAACTAGGGAGTTCACTGAAGAGTCAGCAGCTTCTCTGAGGACCAAAATAACCCAGTGGCCAGCAGGTTTGGAACAAAGGGCTCTGTGTGTTCAACAGCATTGGGAGCTGTCCCACTCTGAGAGCAGAGCACAGAATGGCTAGAAGGAGATGTCTCACTTCACAAATAGGAAACAGGACTTGTCATAAACCTAGACTACCCACACACAACCCTGATGAATGTCTACCTTACTTGGGGATGAAAATGGTACAACAGCAAGAATAACAAATCACTCTCTGGATGATGGCAGAAATGACCTGGAAAGAAATAAGATCCTTTTTCTTATTGTTTTAAAAAAAGTTTTGATATATTCCTATGCAGGTATCTAAAATCCAAAGAAGTCAGTGAATCATGTAGGCACATTTTGAGGTAAAAGGAAAACTAATTCTGGTTGTCTCTGGCTAGAATTCAATTCTTTAGAGTTCAGAGTTCTGGCTGGCCACTTGACTTACTGCTTGACGGGAAGCTCTTACCGTGATAACTGCAGATACAACAGCAAACCCCAGCAGACACTTCATATTTTCCCTTTCTGTATCCAATTCTATGCTGAGGTCATTGGTATAGTCGTAATACAGCCACCATAAAACACCGCAGACAACTATAAAACAAAACACCAACAGTGCTCAGATCACATGCCATGAGACATGTACCCAGGGTGCAGACCACACACACACACACAAACACACACACAAAGTTCAGCCACTGCTGGTCAGCCCAGCAACCCTGCTTGGCAGCAAGGCCCAAGTCCCTGGGGGGCTTTACAGGCAATAGCCACATTTTGGGAGGGGCTGGGCAGGTCTGGGAAGGGTCAGGCAGGCCACAGGGGACCCACCAGTCCTGTAGCTCCTGTTTTTCTTTGGGAGGCCCAGGAGGTGATCCCAGAACACAGGTGCTTCCTGTGGGTCTGGGTGTGAGCAGGGAGGAAACTGCACAAAAGGGATAGTTAGAGGAACGACATGAAAGTCCAAAGTCTAGAATTCTCAAACCAGCCCTGTTGGGGGACAACTCCCAGTGGGAGCCTGGATATCGGCTTCTCTACCCACAAAACTGGAAGGATAACACACCTGCGTGAGTCACCTAAGTCACACATCTATTCTGAGGATACCTTGACATTTTTGATCCTCTGCATTTGGGTACTAAATGCTACTTTATGCCACATCCACAGTAACTACAGGAAGGTCACAGTGGCTGGACTAACTGTAGATGGGGAAAAGTATCCCTCCCGGGCCATCATGCCTGCCCTCCAATACCAGGCACAGCTGTGTGCCTAGTGAACTGCAGGCTCCAAGTTACAAAGGGCAGAGCCGATTACTGAGGAGAATACAACACTGTGGTCATAAACCAAAAACAAATCCACTGCCATTGAGTTGATGCCAACTCAACAACCCTATAGGACAGAGCAGAACTGCCCCATAGGGATTCTCCCACAGCAGCTGGTGGGTTCGAACCACAGACCTTTTGGTTAGCAGCCAAGCACGTTAATCATTGCACCACCAGGGCTCTCACATAAGTTGTTAAATATTAAAATACTCAATAAAAAAACAAACCAGTTGCTATCAAGTCAATTCTGATTCATTGCTACCCTACTGTGTCAGAGTAAAACTGTGCTTATGGGGTTTTCAAGGCTGTGACCTTTTGCAAGCAGATTGCCAGGCCTTTCTTCTGGGGTGCCTCTGAGTGGATCTGAATTGTCAACCTTTTGGTCAGTAGTCAGGTGCTTAACTTTTTGTGCCACCTACACTGGGTAAATAGTTGCTGCCCAAAGCCTCCTGAATGCCCCTGCCCCTCAGAACCCCTTTTCTGTCAAGCCCCAGATAAACTTTTATCTACTAAGAGGGAAAGGGGCTCAGTAAAGGATCCCTAGGACCTGCCCCAATGCAGGGCCTATGTCTATTCAGACTAGTTGGAGCTTTTGTATGACAACTGTGGGCATGCACTTACTGAAGCAAAATCCTTTAGAATGCTTCCAACAGGCAATGGCATTCCCTTTTATGGTAGGGGCAGCAGGGTCATTCAGTTGGTGGGTGGCAGGGTGTAACAGAAGAAACGATAGATTGAGCTTTAATTTTGCTATTATCTGAGAGACATAAGCAGCTCCCTTTGTGTTCTCTGGGCCTGAGTTTTCTCATATGCAAAATAATGGGGTTGGACTAGATGCTCTTGAAGACTCTATTTAGTTCATAATGTTCTATACTTAATGGAAAGGCTTTTTATTTAATCAAGAAGAAACTGATCAAGTAGAAATACTTACACAACAATCCCAGAATAACCAGTGCAATGAAAATGTGAACCAGCAGCGTGGAGATGTATCGGAAGGTGAACATCGTGGCCAAAGACAAGACTGAAAAATTAAACAAACATATAAACCCCCAAAACAACAAAGAAGATGAGGGTGATGATGATGGGGACAATGATGACTAAAGCCTCTAGCACAATGAGGGCCGAGGAGTTTACTCAATCCTTAAGTCTTTTGGGACATCTACCAAACAATACCAAACAGAAACAAGACACACCCATGGCCCTCTCTGAAGCATATATATATTAAGTCTGCTATAAGCAGTTTCTAAAAGTGCTACCATTCCTCTTGAATTAAAGAGAGAGAGAGAGAGAGAGAGAGAGAGAGACTGAGAGCAAGAGCACGTATTATTCCCAAGTACCAAGATATTTTGTTTCCTTATAATTCCAAATGAGCCATTTAAAAATTTTACCATATTTAACAACTCTTTTGACCTCATACTGGGCTTATGTAGAATTTTAACTTTAATGTTCTTAGATACTCATATTAAATATGAAATATTAGTGACTTTAAAAATGAAAAATGTATATACAATGAGCCATATGTAGGAAATACTGTATATTACTTTCCATTATTTAGGCTTTTAGGTTTATAAATTTATTCCAAACTTTCAGTGAATATGCACATCTATTTTATTTTTTTCTAAACAAGAAATTAGGATTGCATGTGCATATTTTAGTGTATGGGTTAAGAGTGCAGGTTTTAGAATCAGGTTTTGGGTTTGAGCCTCAGCTTTGCAACCTACTAGATGTGTGAAATTGGCCACACGGACCACACAAGGAATCACCTGACCTCTCTAAGCCTCAGTTTCCTCTCCTACAAATAGGGACAGGAGTCTTCGGAGGTTTTAATGAGTTAAAATAGTCTTCTTAGAATGTTGGTGAGGAGTCCTGGTGGTGCAACAGTAAAGTGCTTGGCTGCTAACTGAAAGGTCAGCAGTTTGAACCCATCAGTTGCTCCATGAAAGAAAAGACCTGGTGATCTGCTTCTGTAGAAATTATAGCCTAGGAAACCCTATGGACCACTTCTGCCCTGTCATATAGAGTCACTTTGAGTTGGAATCTACTCCACAGCACACAACAATAACATGATGCTGGTGAGATTTTAATGAGTTAAGAATACACACAGTGCCTAGTACAGGATAAATGCTCAGTAAATGATAACTGTTAATACCATTATGAATCTAATAAGTACTGTTAATACTGGTAGGAATCTAATGTCTGTGTGAAGACATTAGGTCATCATATGTGATCAGAACTAACCTGGATATTTTGGTATATACGGTCATCACACCAGTATATGGAAGTCAAAGCATCCTATTTGGGTCATTTGAAGTCATTCTCAGCCTAAGTAAGGAGTCCAGAAGTTATATAATAACCATAAAGTATTCCCAAGCACTCAGGAATTAGTAACCTTTCTGTAATAAAATTATGGAAAACTCAATTTGTAAACTGGCAAAAATATGTTAATGGATGACTAACGAGTTTCTTTCAGTCAAAAGGTCAGGAGGCATCACTGGGGGGCAGGGATTATAAAAGGCTATTACTTTTGCCTAAAGTAACAGTATTCAGAGAGAATGTCGTATCTTAACGGACGCCATCAATCTGAAACAGAAAATGGGAAGTCAAAGGATCAGAAGTTGGCAGCTATATCCTGAAATGCCCGGGGCAGGCATGTCTCAGCTCAGGTCCTTGACCTGCCTATAACCCCAAGCAGGTTCCTCTGAGAAGTTGAAGCCAACAGGCTATTGCTGTCTGATGCTATTTAACATGGGCTGCAAACACCTCCTTCTCTTGTTCACCAAGTAGTCTGCTGATTGGGCTCTCCTACAGGAGAGAGCACACTGGCCAGAAAACATATACTTCTGGTCCCCTTGACAGCTATACTTTTCATTTCCAATAGGCAATCTGCTTTACACATCCATCCCTATGCCCAGGTGAGGACCAGATGCTGGGATATGATTCCCATATAAGTCAACCTCCATCCACTGAGGTCTCCTGGCAGAGAGCCAGCTGGCCTTCTCTCCATCTTATTGCCCTCCAAACTTGAATCTGACACACTGAAAATATATATAAAAAATAAATATGCATTGGAGTTATAGACTGAAGTCAAGAAGTTACGTTTCAATGTGAAACATACATCTAAGTGCTAGACACTTTGGCATTTCACAGTTACTGAAGTAAAATTAACTGAAAATTACCTAATGCGAGGATACATAGGCCAAGGACTGTGTCTCTTCCTGACATTATTCCACTTAGAATTCGATGCAGGGTGTCAACATCATTTATCAAAACAGATGCAAACTGGGAATAGCATTCAGGCGTTTGAGGGATGCATCGGTTAAACAAGGGAAAAGACTTGCTAAAAATAAAAGAATAGATGGCAAAGATGTTTACTTAAAATTCTCAACCACCAAGAAAGCATAAAATCTGCAGTATTAAAAGGATTTAGCATCATCCTGTTTGTAATCTTAGAAAGCCTGGCAACTACACACATTAGCTAATGCTCTGGATGGGAAATTGATTATGGAGACAAATTAAAACAAAACAAAACAACAAAACCTGATGCCATCAAGTCAATTCCAGCTGCTAGTGACCCTATAGGACAGAATAGAACTGCCCCACAGGGTTCCCAAGGCTATAATCTTTATGGAAGCAGACTGCCTCATCTTTCTCCCGTGGAGCAGCTGGTGAATTTGAACTGCTAACCTTTTGGTTAGCAGCTGAGTGCTTAAACACTGTGCCACCAGAGCTCCTATGAAGACCAATAGAAGCCAAAAACTAAACTTAGGGAGTGACATTTTCACTATCACATATTAGTCCTTCCCAGACACCAGACACCAATAACAACATAAAAATCACACTTCAAAAAATGACACACACACACACACACACACGCACACACACACAAATCATACTTCCTTAAGGAACTGTTAAGGATATGAGTGGAATCAACCAAACAACTGTATGAATGATAAATAAACACCAGTTTGATTGTATCCTGTTAAGAAAGGGTACAAGGCTGCAGTTGTTGTTATGTGCCGTCAAGTCGGCCCTGACTCATAGCGACCCCTCCTTGGGTTGCTGAGGCAGTATCACTACAGAAGTGATTGCCCAACCTTCCTTCCGAGGAGTGGCTGGTGGTTTGAACTGCCAGCCTTCTGGTTAGCAGTCAAGTGCCTTAGGCACTATGCTACCAGAGCTCCTACAAGGCTGCAGAGTAACTGCTTAATCAATGAGTGATCAGTGTGTGAGAAAAGCTGTAGTTGACACCTGCCTAAAGGAGGCAAGAAAGCTTACTTTTTTTTTTTTTTTAAATCCTGCCACTTCCTGTTGAGTCAATTTCAACATATGGCTAAAGCACTTGACTGCTAACCAGAGGCTGGCGGTTCAAACCCACCAGCCACTCCTTGGAAGGAAGATGGGGCAATCTACTTCCGTAGTGATACTGCCTCGGAAACCCAAGGAGGGGTTGCTATGAGTCGGGGCCGACTCGACGGCACATAACAACAACAACAACAACATAGGACAGAGTAAAACTGTCACTTAGTGTTTCTAAGGCTGTACAGAAGCAGATTGTCACATCTTTTTCCTGTGACGTGGCTGGCAGGTTAGAACAGCTGACCTGGTTAAGAGCTGAGTGTTTTAATTACTACACCACTAGGGCTCCTTATTTTTTCATCCTAATGAATTTTAATGAGGCTACAACTACCACCATAGGGTCCTGCTCTTCTGTTCTTCTGGTGGTCCTAAACAGAAATAATCCAGCCCTAAGAAATGTCAAATTATCTGACATATGGCTGAAAATCAAGGCAGTCATCATGCATTTTCTGAAATATGTGAAGCTGAAACAAAAGAGAACCTAAACATGCAAACATTACCTTGGCACACAGGAAAAATGATTCCTGAAACTTCCAATGAAACACAACATAAAATATATGGAAAATCTTTCTCAGGAAGACATAATATTACAGAAATAGTTCGTGAATCACTGAATACACATTCAGGAGTTAAGGTAATACAACTCGGCTGTGTTTTTTAAATTAAATTTTTGAAGGGGATAATACATTCACATGGTTCCAAGTCCAAAAGGTACAATACAATAAACAGTGAGAAATTACCCTTCCTTGCCTCTGAGCCACCAAGGTACATTTCTGGTCTCTTGTATATAATTCTAGAAGCATTTTTTATCATCTGTGAATGTAATAGGAAATTTAAATGGAAGTTTACAGCTGAGGCTCAAAGATAATAATAATTATGTTCCAAATCAAGATGCCAAACCCCACTATTCAGGGCTTGCCAAAAATAGGTGGAGAAAATTGTTTAAATTATGATTAAATCCCTCACCCACACTAAGAGTACAAAAGGATTGGGAATTGGACATTAGAAGACTATTACTAAAAATAAACTTTAAACGTGGGAATAATTTCAGGTTTACAGAAAAATTGCAACGATAGTACAGAGTGAGTTTTTCTGTTGCCTTCAGTAAAAGTTGATTCTGACTCACGTGAGAGTCGAACTGTGTTCCAGAAAGTTTTCAATAGTTAATATTCTTCAAAGTAGGTCTCCAGGCCTTTCTTTCAAGGGTCCTCTGGACAGACCCAACCTCTAACGTTTTCTGGTTAGCAGCCAAGTGGCAAGCCACTTGCACCTCCCAGGGACTTTAATCTTCACTTAGCTTCCCCTCATGTTAACACCTTACATAACTATCATAAATCTGTGAAAACTAAAAAAACTAACATTGGTACAATGTTCAGTCCAATGTGATAAATGGCTCATTTGACTGAAGGTTGAAACATTTTAATTCCTGAATTGAACACGTCTTTTATAGCTTAAAGTGACTGAAGAACTTACTACGTTTGCAAAAGAGAAGCCTTGGCAACTGTTTGAGTTTTCATGGGAGGGCACAAAGAAAATTAGTCACACTAAATGCATTGAAAGAGACAAAAATAAAGTTACTTTCTGACTACATCTGACAGTTGAGGGCACAAAGAAAATTAGTCACACTAAATACATTGAAAGAGACAAAAATAAAGTTACTTTCTGACTACATCCTACAGGTCATGTTTGTTTGATGTGATGGTTGCATAAGCAAATACATACACATACATACATGCATACACACACATGCATGCATATATTGTTGTTGTGATATGCTGTTGAGTTGGATCCAACTCATAGCAACCCCTCCTTGGGTTTCCGAGGCAGTATCACTATGGAAGTAGATTGCCCCATCTTCCTTCCTAGGAGTGGCTAGTGGGTTTGAACCACCAGCCTTCCGGTTAGCAGTCAAGTGCCTTAGCCACTATGCTACCAGAGCTCCCGATGCATATATATACTTTATGAATATAAATAAATTGCACTTATGATATTTTCGTTTTTTTTTACGAAAGGTAGCATACCATGTATATTGCTCTATAGCTTATTTTTTTTTTTTTTTACTTAATATGACTTGTAGTTCTGCTCATATCAGACCATAAGGAGTTCCTCTTTTTTGTTGAGGGAAAATTTATATACAGCTCTTCTTAAAACAGAAGGTGTTTATGTCTGAGATTAAACTTAATTCTATTTAAGCAAAAGATGTGCTTAACAAAACCAGAGTAACCTGGGGAAAGGTAACTTGCACCCATGGAAACAGTAGCGTGGTTCATGCAACCTTCCTGCTAAGGCAACCAGACACATAATCATGTGATGCTCTACCCTTCAAGGATTTAAATTTATTGAAAATTCAATAAATAAAATTCTGGATGTGTTATTTTTAAAAAATCCTAAATATTATTACATTATATGATATATTGTAATTTAGTTATTGGCAGACAATTTTATTGTTTTCAATCTCTTGCTTTTACAAACACTGCAATGAATGGTGTTACACAAATGTCACTTTACATTGGTGCAAGAAGACCTGCAGATTAAATTTCTAGAAGTAAGCTGCTTAATTAAAAGGCATGTTTATTCATAACTAAAGTGCCCGCCTTAAGACATTGCTTCATTCATATATGGAAGTCCCTGTTCCCCACACCCTGGCCAATACAGTGCCTTAGCAAATCTTTTGATGTTACAAGTACAGTAGGTGAAAACATTAGAGTCTTAATTGAAATATATGCTGTCATGAGGAAGGGCCAGAATACTATGTTTTATAAATTAGGGAAATTAGTCTCTTGTTTTCATTAATGTCTTCTGAGCTTTTAGCTATAGTTAGAAGCCTTCCTCCTACTCTTAGGTTATGAAAGAATTGTCATATAGTTTCTTCTAGTACTTTACAATTTCACTTTTTAGATTAAAATCTTCAATCCATATTTGGCATGAGGTATGGATCCAACACTCCCCCACCCCCTGCCTACCCACTTGCTCCAACACCATTTGCTGACTATTCCATATTGTGTCACTGATTTGAGATGCCGTTTTATGATGTACTAAATTCTTATAAATTTTTGGGTCTGTTCCTGGATTATTTTTTTAATCTTCTATTGGTCTGACTAAAAGTGAACTAGTACCACAGTATTTGAATTATTAAAGATTTATAAACTGTTTTAAGGAGCCCTGGTGGTATAATAGTTAAATGCTTGACTGCTAACCCACCAGTTGCTGCCTGGGAGATAGATGTGGCAATCTGCTTCTGTAAAGATTTACTGCCTTGGAAATCCTATGGGGGCAGTTCACTCTGTAGGGTCACTATGAGTCAGAATTGAGTGGACAGCACACAACAATACCAACATAGCTGTACCAACAGTACCAACAGAGCTGGCCTACTTCAGGCCTCTGATTTCTTCAAATTTTCCTTGGCCAATCTTGTTTTTTCCCCCTCATAAACTTTTTAACCATCTTGTCTAGTTATCAAAAATTCTATTGTTATTTTTATTGCAATCATAAATTTATAGATCAACTTAGGGAGAAATGATATCTTTATATTGCTGAGTTGCACTATAGAGAACATAGTATGCCTTTCCACTTGAGTTTTCTATTTCAGGAATATATTAATTTTTTTTTTCCCCATGGTCCTCATTAAATTTATTTCCAGGCATTTTTGTGTTTTTGTATTTGTTTTCTTTTGCTTTGTTGTAAGGAATCTTTTTGAAAAAATGAATGCTGAATCCTACAGATTTCAATGTATTAATTTTGTTTCCTGCAATCTAACTCAGTTTCTCTTCTTGTTTGTAGGAGTTTTTCCAGTTAATTGTCTTAGATTTCCAGGTATTTAATTATACCATCTGCAAAGAGTAGTAATTTTACCTCATGCTTTCCAAATTTTAAACCTCTAATTTCTCTTTTCTATTTTTTTTTTTTTTTAATATCCTAGCATTCCTGCCCTCTGAACTATCTCCCTGTGCAAATACTGCCTTTCTCATCTCCTGTGGTTGA